TACCTCTTATAACAAAAGAAATCGTCTCTTTTTTTTATTAAATGTTTGTCGTATTTATGCTTGGACTAGGAAAATATGACAATACTAACCACAATCACATAGATTATCCACTATTCAGATAATTTTTATCACCACCCATAAAAATTTCAAAACCAATTTCCCATCACACCCCCTAAATTTCCAACATGTGATGTACAAGAAAAAGATAAGAAAATCAAGATCAATTGGTACATGCCTCCAAGGCTCCGAGTAGAAGTAGCGTACAAGGAAGCAAACACGTCCGCATTATTCCAAATCCCCCGACCTCCTTAAAAATCCCACCCAACCCAACCGCGTCATCTTGTTAGATAAATTATACAAAACTATTTTAATTATGGGTTAAATCATAATTTCATACCTCATGTTTTAAAAGTTACAATGTCATACCTCAACTTACGAATTTATTGCAATATCAGATCTTCGTCAAATTTTCTACTAAATGTTGATGTGACTTGAGACCGAGCTCACTTCCTAGCCCAATTAAATTAAAAAAATAAAAAAATAAAATCATTTTAATATTTTTATAAAAAATTGTGGACCCACCCTACCAACCCATCACCTTCACCCTTACCATCTTCCCGAACCTTCCCTCCTTCCCCTTCTGTCTGCCCCGGCCCGTTTCCAGGCAAGCTTCCCAGGTGACTTTACAGCGAACTCTAGTGACGAGCACCGTCATCACCACCACCGTTCCATTGCTCTTGGTGACACAAACATGACCCACTGAGCTTTCACGTTGTTTGGCTGCCACTCATGGCGGATCGAACCGTGGAATTCCCGTGATTTTGACTCCGAGATTCTAGGAAAGCATTCGAACATCCATCCTTACCCTCCTTCCCCCTTCATGTAATCATGGATACTTAAAAACTATTCATGTAATCAGGAATTCCATTGAAAATTGGATGGTCCATAACAATCATAGGAAAGCACAATGTTTGGTACAATTCTAAAGTCTAAAACCTCTCTAAAACTTAGAGATTCAACACACAAAATGATAAAATTTAAAGATTTAATCTCACAGACAAATGCAGAGGGAGCCCATCAAGGTACTAACAAGAACAAATCAAAAGCAAATTTGAGAAACATAAAAAACCAATCAAGGAAATTGAAAAACCTCAAAACCCATCAGAGTTTTTGCAGGTTTGTTGCATAGAAAGCAAAATGTTTTAAGTGAAAGGCTCTAAGAACAAGCAAAGATCAAATGGTAGAACAAAGGTTCTTCTCAGATGGCTGGACGACGGTGGCTTGCAACCTTCTTGTTGTTGTTGACTGTCATGCTTTCTAATGGCAGAACAAAGGTTCTGCCTCATTTCATCGATGTTGCTTTGTATAACCAAAACAATCCCAGGACCAAAATGACATAGTCTGGCCTATGTATTTTGAAAAAATAAAAAAAAAACGTTGTAGTTTAGCGCAGTAGTGCAATGCGCTGCAAACCCAGAACCAAACCCAGATTCTAGCGGTTTCAGAAGATTGAAATCTTCACTTTCAGTGGCGATTCCGGAAAGATGAGGGGCGGCATCCCCTTCTTGCTTCTCTGTAGCTTCGCCCTTGGCAGGGAAAGCGTTCAAACATCCATCTTCACCCTTCATCCCCTTTCCATTCGTCCCCCATCCCTTCACTAAAAAAGCATTCGAACAAATTTAAAGCCAAAAGAACCTGGAATTCGAATCGAAATAGAGAAAAGAACTGAGTTTCAATCACCACCTCCACAGGCACCGTCGACGAGAAAACCATCATCGCCAACCGACTCTACCGGATCTGGAAATATACTACGACAGCGTCACGAAGAGAAGTAATTTTGAATCTAAGATGAACACTAATCCGATTGAGTTGTAAATTTAAATTTATATGCTTTGATTTGTTATTTAAAGATTTTCTGGATTTTAATGGTTTTCATGTGGTGGGTCAAGTGGAGTTAGGTTGTAAAATGTTAGTTTGTTTTGTTTTCCTGAATTTTTTTGGGTGGTGGTTTGGGGAAGATTATAACTGTTAATTTGGGTTTAAGTTTGTAGGTCATGTTCATGTTGGTTTGGGTGGTGAAGGGAGGGGACGACCGGAAGGGGAAGAGGATGTGGTTCCCAGATTGTTTTACAAAAGTATATCTCTATATAAATGATTTTGTTTTTAATTTTAATATTTAATTAATTTTTTAATCCAGTTGGGCTAGGCAGTGAGGCCCATCTCAAGTCACGTCAGCATTTAAAAGAAAAATTGACAAAAAACTGATGGAGGTTTGACATTGCAACAAATTCGTAAGTGGAGGTATGACATTGTAACTTTTAAAACATGAGGTATGAGATTGTAGTTCAACCCATAGTTGAGGTAGTTTTGTGAAGAGCTTTTGAATGTTTAGTATGGTTTATTTTGTGCCAATCAAGTGTTTAATGAAATGCTTCTCACAGATTGCATCGACAACACTTGACAAATTCTCTTAATATCACTCATCAAATTGCTTCGGCATATATCAATATCTTTTGGCATGTGTGCAACTTGGTTCCACTGACGACAACAAGCTCCCAAGTGTTCGACAAAATGCCTTTGATGATGCTCAAGTGTTTTTTTTAAACAAACGATATTATCACAGTAAGGGAGTGGGGGTAGGCTTAGCCTCATAATAGGTTAACAATAATGTAATTCAAATTTGCCTTTGATGAGAATCGAACCTAACACCTTTCACTTACAAGCGAATAGGATATCACTAGACCGTGATACTAAGGGGTAAGTGTTTATCTAACAAAGTTAGACTTTAACACAAAAATCCCTCGAAATTCAAATCTTAGATTTGTCACTACCTCTTGTAACAAAAGATATCGTCTTTTTTTAATAAACGTTTGTCATATTTATGCTTGGAGTAGGAAAATATGACAATACTAACCACACTCACATAGATTACCCACTATTCAGATAATTTTTATCACCACCCATAAAAATTTAAAAACCAATTTCATCACACCTCCTAAATTTCCAACATGTGATGTAAAAGAAAATCAAGATCAAGTGGTACATGCCTCCAAGGCTCCAAGTAGAAGTAGCGTACAAGGAAGCAAACACGTCCGCAATATTCCAAATCCCCCGACCTCCTTAAAAATCCTCTCCGGATCTTTTTGGTAAGGATTCTGAAAATATGTGAATCGTGTTCGTTCATCGTAAATTTTGTGGTCAGTTTTTACCAAATACTGTTTTTATTTAAATTTAAATAAAAATATTTACAATAATTTATAACCGCATAATATATGATGAACATGCATAATTAATATATCATCGGAATCCTTACGTATAGAATCCGTCGAGGATGCGGATTCTTAAAAATCCCACCCAACCCAACCGCGTCAACGTGTTCATTCCCCTCACCACTTTAAATTCTTCAATTTTTTGCATAAAAGTAAAATCCCCATAAGTTAATAAAAATCTTTGTTCCTCTCTCTCTACACCTTTCGCTTCTTTTCCTCCCTCTCTCTGCTCTCTCCCTCCTCGTTATCCGACGCATCACCAAACAAATGGGAGATCCGATCGTGCTGACTCAGCTCGCCACCGGTCTCGGCGTCTTGGCGGGCGCGGTCTTCGTCAAATCGGTCATGGACCAGAAGCCCATGGCCGGCCCCTTCCCGCGGTGTCCCAGGTGCAACGGAACGGGTCGGGTCACTTGCTTCTGCTCGCGCTGGTCCGATGGCGATGTCGGGTGCCGGAGCTGTGCCGGCTCGGGTCGTACGTTTTGTAGCAGCTGTGGTGGGTCGGGTACTAGTCGGCCACTTCCGGTTCAGATCTCCGTACAGCGCCCCAACCCTCCGTCTTAGCCGGTTCGGTTTTGCTTCTTATCAGAAAGTTAAAGAGAGAATCTCTATTTCCTCTCAATTTTTTTTCCCAAAGAAGAGATTTGTGAAAATTACAAAAAATTAAATCCTGTATAATAGTAGTTGATGATACTCTGAGAGAAGAAGAGGAGGTGAGAGTTCGTCATTAGGCTGTAATGAGGTGACTTTCCTTCAAATTAATATATTTTTATGACTAAATTTGTCTGCTTATTGACAAATTTGTAACCTTTTTAAGTGTAATTTGTTTGTAAATTGTATTGGGTTCCTCAGAATTTCATAATTTAGTTTACTCAAGTTTAATTAGAATTTTAGTATTTGCTGCTTAATTTGTTGCTTGAATTTTCTTGTGGCCACAAGTTTGTGATGAAGTTTCAGGATTTTATGTCCAAACAGTTTATCTTCGAGAAATGATTTCCGTAGACATTTTTTCTTCTCCTACATTCTCGTTTTATCACCAAACCAACCATCTATTTGAGTTGTGTTTGCATACCAAACTAACATGAATTTGGGTTCCATTAGCCTTAGCTTCATAGAAGTTGAATGCTTCAAAACAAATAATTGTATTTCTGTTTTCAACTTGTGGGGATTGATTGACAAGTTAGACTTTGAATATAGTATGCATATGCATGTATGGAGCTCACCTTCCTGATTAAAATATTTTGGAGGCTATTACTTGTGGATGTTAGGTGGCAACTTGGGAAAGAGATTTTCTCCTGATCTCTTCTTCCTAATCCATCAAATCAGAGAATTCGTGCTGTTGAAATTTGATCTAATTGTTAAAGTTCTTATAACTTTTAAAGTGAGTTCCTATTTGTAGCTGTTAGATCAAATTTCAATGATATGGATCTTCTAATTTTGTGGATTAGGAGAAAGGAATTCAGAGATGATTTCTTTCCGCAACTTGGTATCAAAGTGGATGATTTTTTAACTTTTTTTGGTCAACGGTGGATGATTAAATATGCACAAATAAAACTAGTTACAAAAAAACAAATATTGAATTGTGATTATGTACCGCTTTTCTCTATTATTTTATTTGCAACATAAATTTTGATTAAAAATTTGTGATCGATTTTACTGTGTATAAATCCCAAGCTAGTTTGATAAGAACATCAGTTAACGTAGTTGCATGCCATGCATATACAGTTGGAATAAGTTCGTAGGTCACCAGTTGATTTCATACATATTGGAACGAAGGTTCCAAAGAGATTTTTGTACACAAGCACATCAAATTACAAGTTTTTAGTCCTACAAATTTCCCTTGGAACAACACAATACTTCTCAGTCTCTCTTTTGCCCGATTGATAACAAGTTAACAACTTTGCTGCTTCTCCTCCCGCACTTGAAAACCCCAATTAGAATTCTCCTTCGTTCCTCACTTGGGGGAGAAAGACTGCCAAAAACCAACCAAAACAATTAGATATGTTAACCCTAATTAAGAAAACACTAAGCATGCAATCAAATTAGTTTAAATCAATTTAAAGTGAACTAATTGCACTCACAGCGAAAATGGTGGCATGGCCGGGATCAGCGAGGTGAGCGAAGAGGTTGTCAATGGGGCCAGTCCCAGTGTAAATGTGTTGAAACCAAGCCCCCATCACAGCCAACATCGCTAGCCTTCCGTTCTTAATCTCCTTTGTCCTCAACTCCTTGATCTTCTCAGGCGAGCCGCTTCCCCATCCAAGTGGGTCGAACCAGAGCCCTCCCGGGTACCCTACATCTGTCCCGGTGAGCTTGTTGTTGGGGAAGATTGGGTCCGTGTTAACTGAACCCGGCTTGAGGATGTCGGCCCATCTCCTCCCCTCGGCCCACCCGATCAAAACAAGCTCAACGACGAAGAGAGTGGTGGTGTCTGTGAAGTACTCTTGCTCTCCGGCTGTGTACCATGAGGGGGTGTTTAGAATGCCGATTTTGGTCAAGAATTCGGGGATGAAGATTCCGGCTGCGCCGAGCATTGCCCATCTGCAGTGTACAAGCTCTGCTTGCTGGTTCCATTTCAGGCTGTCTGGGTCAGATGCTGTAATCACATTTTAACAAACATTATTAGTTACAAATTTCATCAGCATTTAGAGATCATGTGAGAATCATGGTTAGGGATTAATAGCATTGGTGTTCGACTTACAAAGACCAAGAGGATCGAAGCCGAAGTCTCCTGGGAGGCTGCATTATTATAACACTTAATCAGTAAGGTAGATAGACAACGTAAAATACCATATAGACAGTTGTTTCGTGACGGTTTAGGTTCACATGCTACTATGCTAGCAACGTAAACATCTTATATTGTAATCTAGTCTGGTAAGACAACATTTTTCTATGGGGTGTCAGGGACGGAGTCAAAAAAAATTTCTAGTGGGGGCAACAAAAAACAACTAAGAAAACCCTATTATAGTATGGTTATATGCAATATGATATTAAGGATGGTTTCAAATGATGATGTATCATAATTCCAATGTTACAAAAATTTCAATATAGTAGTGGAAAGTGGCAAAGTGATGAGACAATATATAAGTACATGATAGGCGTGAGAGTGTTTTTTCGGTTTGAATGATAGAACAAGAGCACTATTGCTCATATAATATTTGATATAGAGTATAAGTAAAATGAATGTATGTTGGATATTAGATACATATATTTTCTTCAAAGATAATCCGTGTATATTATATAATTGTAGTCTGCAACTAAACAAACGAATTATTTGAGTGGGGTCATTTGCCCCCAGTGAGCCTTCATTGGCTCCGTCCATGCGGGTGTAATATCCACACACCCCTTTTTACTTCTTTCACATCTTTTTAATTTTCGGGCGTCAGATCGGATGAATTGAAGAAGATCAACGGATATAAATTAACAAGGGTCCGCACACCCCTTTTTCTATAAGCAAACATTTTATTAACAACTTAAGATTCAACGATGCGGCTATGAACCAAAGATATTCAGACAAATGTCGACTTAATTAAGGGTTTAGGTTCAATTATGTGAATATGAACCACATTGTTGGACATTTATCAACTTAATTAATGGTTTAGACTCGCATGTTGATGCTGGTAACCAAAATATTTCATGTTGCTAGATAGTCTGATAAGAGAACATTCATAAACGGGATATTTTGGAGCTACCTTCCATCGAGCCATGGGGGAGGGGTGCTTCCTGGAAACCACAGAGGCCTATCAGGGTCAGCAGCAGCCGCACGTACTGTAAAAGATGACGATGATCCTGTGGCGGCTGTGAAGCTTCTCACTCTCAGCTTCCTCCCACCAAAGAAAGAAGCCTTAGTTGCCGCCAAAGAAGACCCGCCCTTCTGGGAGCTGCAGCATAATTCACATCTTGCTAGTATTAATTAACAATGCGAAGGAACAAAAAACTCCAAAAACCCAATAAACCATGCAAGAGTACGAAAGTAAGCACACATTTAATAAATAAATAAATAAATACCGCGACGATACAGCGACGGCTGCAATGGCGGAAGAGGAAGCCCAGGCGGAGGCCATTTTTCGAGGCTTCGACCAAACTCTGTTGCTTATTTGATCTGTGAAATTGTATGGGGTTTGGAGTGTTTGGGGAGAGAGACGCAGATGAGTTAATGTACAGAATTGAAGGGGCTTATCTTGTAGGATAGGAGAGTGGTGTCCGATTGGCTTTTGGGGTGCCATGTGGCATGCAGAATCTGAGAGTGGGCCCTTCATTCCTTCCACGGCCAGTTGTTGAGCTTTCCTGGAAAAATCACAAGCTGGTGGCTTAGATTGCAAGTCAGAGCCACCAATATATCTGAGAACTGATCGCCACCAATGAAGGCATCGTATAAGGAGGCCCAAGTAGATATCTAATATTCTCACATAAGGTAATGTTTATTATCCAATTTAATGTATGAAACACATGTAACACAAACGTAAAAATGTCGTCTTATTTATAACTTTAAAGCTCGTTTGGTAGCCATTTTAATTAGAGTGTATTTCACCTTACCAGATTGTACTAAAATGCATTGACTTGTATTGTAATGCGTTGACGAAGTTAGATTTAGTTTTCTTCTCGGGAAATTCTTGATGTAGTGCATTGAGGTCTTAGGCACATTTCTTCCACTATCCGTAGACTAGTAGAAGAAAACTAATTCTAAGATAGCCCAACTAGAATTCGGCCTAATTATATGGGCTCATTTTTTAGATAAACTTCTCAGCTTGAAAAGAGCCCAATCACATGAAGCCCAGTTGAGTTGTTGGGTAAGGATGAAGTTATTGACCGTACAAGTGGGCTGCTGGGCTATTTGACTGGGTTATTTCAAGAAAAGAGCCCAATCATAAGTTTGGGAGGACTTTAAATACAGGAGGAGCTATTTTTCCAAATTTCATGGCCTAATTATTATGAAGCAGCTGTAAAAATCGTACGGGAAGGAGTGTTGGTTACTCAAAATAATCAACACAAAGCAACAGCTGTGAAAATCATTTTGGAAACTAGAGAGAAAAACCTAAATCTTTTTTAATGTTTCTTACACTTTCAAAATATTAAATATATTCTTAAGCTGATGTGGCAAACATGTCATCATGTAAGTGGACCACACTATTGCCACGTCACAAACTCAACAATTTTCATAACGGATTTGACAGAATGTAAGAAAATAAGACAAAAATCGAGTTTCAAGTGGTCAAGTACCGCAAATTTTATTTTCAGAAAGCAAAGTAAGACGAAACTAAAGTTTCATGGAGTGTGTGTACTACAGCATACAAGTCATATTATGCATACAAGTCATATTATGTGTACTACAGCAGAAACGTTTTGACTTTTGACCCATATATGGAAGGAAGGAGTAACTCTGGAAAATGGCTTCACAATGATGAAAACTTTTCAATAATGCAAAAAATAAAAAGTTGCAGAAATGATTTTTCTCTTCAACTTATTGCGTATCAGCAAACCCTCATCTTTGATTTATCTTGGTTAAAACTTCACCTTTCTTTAAGACGAATTCTTAGTAATAATATTGTTTGTAATTAAAAAATGATAAAGGTTAAAAAAAACTATGCGTGTATTAGGGTTACTGAGACATAATTATCCCAAAAATTACCCCATGAGATAAAGCAACCGACCAATAAATCTAGCTAGTTTGGTGGAGAATGGTCCTTTTAAGGAAGCAAATGGTGGTTAGCAGATTTAAGTAACGTAATTAGTGATTGTTTTGATGTCTACCAACAACATCAAAGCATGTTTGATACACATAAAGTAACGCATCGCAAAAATCTTTATGTTCTTCTCCTTTACTTCATATAATTTCCTTTGGATTTCTTATCTATAATTTTGCCATGTAACCATGTGCTCGCTATTACTATTGCAATTATGTCTGCCAAGAAAATTATAGCATAAAACGATGTCGTAATCATGTCTCAGAGAAGTCATTGAGAATTATTATAACATTTTAAATTACAAATCTCTCCCTAGGAGGTAACAGCAACATAAAGTCACGTGATGTACTATTTCACGTGTTAGATAAAAGGGGGCAAATTCATGATAGTCCATCATTTCGGGAGTTGGAAAGACTTACAGAGATATTTCAGCCTTCCCTGGCCACCATCCTATGATTCACCAGTGCCAAGAATCGAACTTAGGACGTGTTGTGTGGAATTTGGGCTTGAAATTTGGCTCTTTCAATTGGACTACCTTGTGGTGGTTATTCACATGTTATATTTTGAGTTGAATAGTAACATCACGTGTTTGTGTTGTCTTAAGATTTCAACGTCAAACCAAGAGCTCACATCTATGTAATGAGACTGACATTGGTCCAGCTTAACTGTTGAATACAAAATTACAAATTATAGCACAAACTGACATTTGTTGAATTTTATCCCAAAAATCTGAATGCGATTAAAAATATAACTATTTAATATAAATTTTAATTTATTGTGTCAGATTTGTGTAATTCCATCCCCTAAATCTTGCAGTTACACCGAAAACTTACTTCTCTATGTGACAGACAAGTAGGGTCGATTCCTAAAGTTTGATTAGCATACAATTCTATGTTTTCTCATCTCTCCTTTTCATTGTTTCGTAATTGCGGAGTCAACAAGCGAAGACGCATTCCTATGGATCATTGTTTATTTTTATTTTCCGTTGACGTGCGAAGTAGAAAGTAAAGAAGAACCAGTCCCAGTTAGTTTATTGTTCTGAAAGTACTAAATCATGCCCATCTGAAAGGCTAACTATATTATTATGTCGGATTTTCTTCTCATTTTTATGATGTTGCTTCTCAATTTATGCCCACACCAGTCATGATATGTTCACATGGTATCGATCAGTGGTGGATTTAAGTTCAAGAATGTGATTAAATGGTGGGGGCAAATCTGATGCCAATAATGCACAGAGTTTGTAGTTGGAGAGCATTTCGCCAAATTGCAAGGGAATTGGGATTTATGGATGGCAAGATGGTAATTAACATCATTCTCAAAATCCGACTCTAAGGTTAAATTTCTCATCACTTTTCGAAAATAAAACGTATTTACTGCCGGTGTTGGAATCCCATTATTCCGGATTTGGATCCTATTCGGATTCAAATTGTGGGGATTCTAGAGATCTTCACATCTTAACCATTCATCGTGTATCGTGCGGTCAGAAATCATTTGACTTTTTTTTATTTAAAATTAAACACAAACAGTACCTGACGAAAACTGACTGCATGATGTACGATGAACGGCTAGGATGTGAGGATCCCTAGGATCCCCACAAAGTGGATGCGGAGATGATTCTCTTCCATACATCGGCTAGGATGAAAGGAAAAAATCAATTTAAATAGGATTACTCCACTCTAACTAATACCGAGGCCTTTTGTGATAAAATCTCACACCTGACGGATTGGGCAGGTGGTAAAGTGAGGACAATATCGGTGTTGTTGGAGTGGACCCTCGGCCCGTCGACCTTAAAAATTCAACAGCCAGTGTAGACACGTAATTAAACACAACTGGCTATATTTAAGTTTTTATTTCTAAACAGAACTAAAACATATGGCTTCTACGTACAAATCTACCATTTCGAAAGCTCGGTACTGAGCTTATGCATGATGATAACATGCATAGTGCTTCATCAACTTAATGAGAATAAAAAAATCATGATGGTTAATAGGCTTTCTTGTAGATATGTCTACTTTAAAAATTGTTAAGTAGGTGGGTTGAGCCTGAAATTTAAACATGAACTAGTTATGTCAAACACTTATTTTACTAATTATCTATCTATATGTTTATTTTAATCCTTTGACATTGTAATTATATAATGAATGGGTGCTTGGCATGCCTTAAATCCTATAAATAAAATTTATTACGAAAAAAATTGTTTATATATTAGAAATTAACCTAGATACTTACTAATAATTTGGGATCCGTTGCCACAAAAAAAATAAAATAAATAATAACAATAATTAAAACAATTCTACAGTGTCTTGTCCATATCCTAAGAAGAAAGTTGAGGTTCCACCATAAAACTAATCAACAATATGAGAAGTGATCAAACTTATAGGCCCATGCAAGATATATTCTCCCATCAATTTGAGATTCATTTTCAACATCCTACTACTTAAGGCAATATCGACCCAGGAGCTTCCAGACCAACCAAATTAATAAGATTGTCCCCAGAGAAGCTTCAAGAAATAAAACCTACAAAGTTAGCTAGAAACTGTCCTATAAGGCAATGGATAGTTCTATTCACATCCCTATTTTTACCTCCAACACTCCCTTGTTAATTTTGTTATTGGTCTTCTTCAATTTATTCGACACAACAGCCAAAAATTGAGAGGATGTGTGAGAAGTGACTTGTTGATTCAAATATTGCAATGGATCGATTTATCAAAAATAAATGTGTACGTAAAGGCAGAGGAGGAAATGAAGTAAACCAAAAGGACTTGGTTTTGGGTCAGGTCATAATCTAGTCGTAATCCATTGGTGATGTAAACTTAAGATAATTAGATGCCGACCAAAACCAAATACCAGGGTTTTGTATGCATTATTTGTAATGATGCAACCATTGCTTCTTGTACACCACCTAATCTCTGCCTCTTTATATCTCTCAATGAGTTGATGACAATATACTATCACATTGTCGGCTCTTTCGACGGCCTGTTACTTTCATAATGTTACATATGTATGTTCCGTCATCGATGATCGATCGATGGCGCCGGTAGTCAGGAGTCAACCTTATATTATAACAAGTTAATCAGAATCATTAGTTAATAATTGGTGTGAGTTATATTTGTAATCAAGTCAGATTAAAAGAAAAATGAAGCAAACAAACTTGTTAGATAAAACGGAGCTCTCAACCGTGACGTGCAGCCGGAACTCCGTAAAGGTGCATGCATATCTTACAACCCGAAAGATCACCTTAGCAGTGTTATCGTGCTTTTCTTCTTATTTTTATACGGAAACTGTGTGTTTTAGGTGCTTGCCATATGTTAGAGCTTTGAGCTTAACCATTTTTCTAATCAATCTTTAAACTTTGCTTTGGAGTTTGGATTAGAAAGTCTGCGTTTTTAATTGATTTTATATAATGACGTACGGTTTTATGCTAACACACAAACAATTTTCAGATAGAGACACGCATATATATATATATATATGTTATTTATTTGT